AATAGACAGAATGCCTGGTAAAACAAGTCTAGGATCTTATGCAGGCCCTTTCTGACAGATGCCCTCTGCCTGGCAGGCCATAAAGTCTAGTGGACATTTTTACAAATTTTACATTTTACATTTTACAAATGAATATTCAGGATAACTATATTCTTCCCATATTAACTGGAAGATCTTTTGTCTTTTCATTACTTTGGAGGGGAGGTTGTCACAAGGCCTTGTTTGTTGCAGAACTGGCTTTATTAAACTTTTCATGCAAGCCAGTGCCTGGAGCATCAGCCCCAGCTTTTCTTTAGCAACGACCATAATAGTGCAAGAACCAAAGGCAAGGGAGCCCTGAATCTGCCTTATGTTGTGAGTCAGCCTTATGCTGTTGGTTCAGAGAGGGACTTCTTGGTCAATGGCCAGATCTTATCTTACTGTGGAATCATACTCCAGTTATGTGATGATAGAGACTAGTAGTATGTAAACTATATGTGTCCCACCCACCCTTAGTTTCTTTGTGTGGGAATTTGACTGATAACAAGGGTTTCAAAGAAAATCTGTTCAGAAGTGAGAGATTAGTAAGGACTACTAAAGTAGGTGTCCAGGAAGATACTCTTCGATCTCTAAATTACTTCTGAGAATTGATCCCTGTTCTTTTTGTCTTTTGTTATAAAACATCAGAGTGGAGGGCTGACATATACCAGGAGCAACCTGGTATAGTGAAGTGAGTGGCACTAACCATGATGGTATAGCCCTCCCTTGAACTCTGGCCCTGAGCTAATGTGCAGCTGGCCTTGGACAGGGCTTAACACCGTTAACACTTAACAGTTTTGCACGTTTGTCTGAAAGACAAGGAAAGTCCTCTATTTTCTTCGTATCTAGCATTTATGTTTATGATTTTTATTATTTTTCTGTTCTGTTTTTTTGGGGGGTGGCTGGCAGTTACAGAGATCCGAACTCTTAAAGTTGGTGTTATAATACCGTTCTCTAACCAACTAAGCTAACCGGCCAGCCCTGATTTCTCTTTTAAAATCCCTATTTGCCATTCTTTCTTCATAAAAATGTCACAGGGCTGTTTAACAGAATTTTGCTTTAAGAAATTTTGAAATGGGCCGGCCCGTGGCTCAGTTGGGAGAGTGTGGTGCTGATAACACCTAGGCCAAGGGTTTGGATCCCTATATAGGGATGGCTGGTTAGCTCACTTCAGAGAGTGTGGTGCTGACAACACAACTCAAGGGTTAAGATCCCCTTACCGGTCATCTTTTTAAAAAAATATTTTTTTTTTGGAATAATTACCACCTGGTTTAATTGTAAATTATAGTTAAATAAATATATAGAAAAGCAGGAGCATTTAAGCAGTCTGTGGCCAGCAGCTGTATTTTAAAATATTTTATTTTTTTGAATAAGTAATACATATGGTACAAAATTTTAAAAGATACAGAAAGATACAGTGCAAAGTCTCCCAATACTGTACCTATCCACCCTCTCACTCTCCCCACAAACCACCACTGTTTCTAAGAATTTATCCCACAGATAAACTACGAAATAACATATGCACAAGAATATTCATTACAGCATTATTTATAATAGCAAAAGATAGGATACAATGGAAATGTCTGTCATTGAGAGTCTGATTAAATAAATTATGGTTTATCCATTCAATGGAATAATATACAGCTATGAAGTAGAATGAGGCAGCTCTTTGTGTACAAGTATAAAGTGAAAAGCAAAGCGCAGAATAGCGTGCATACTATGCTATTTGTGTTTTTAATGAAAGGAAATATGTGTATATGCATGCATATCTCTGGAAGGATGAGCAGGAAGGTGAGGGTTGTGGGGAGGTGGGCAAGTGGGAACAGCATTTAAGAGGGCACAGTGCCAGCAGGGTATATTTGGGGAATAGTAAAAAATTCTCTGATGGGGTATAATGTGGAGTGGCAAGGATGATGTTGACAGATATTCACTTCTCTTTCCCCTTTGTTTAGACAAATAGCAGCATATGTTGCATTCTGTTATACAACCTCCCTTCATCTATTTCAGACATCTTTCTTATCAAGGATTTTAGAGCCATTTTTTCTTAGGGTTCCATAGCAATGAATTGTTTCTACTCTTTTGCTATTACAAATAATGTTGTAATAAATAACCTTTTACGTACATCATTTCACATTTGGTGAGAATGTGTGTGAAGGTTAAGTTCCTAGAAGCTGAATTATTAGGCCAAAGCTTAGTACTTTTATAATTTTGAAAGACTGCCATATTGTCCTCTTCAGAGGTTGTACCAACATATACTCCTACCAGCTGTTAAGAGAGTGCTTACTTCCCCAGATGTTTGCCAACCAGGAGTCTTAACAAACTTTTTGATCTTGGCCAATCTGACAATTTTAGAAAAATACCTTTGTGTGGTTTTAAGTTGCATTTCTTTTATTACGAATGAAAGAATATTTCAATATGAGCCACTTATTTTTATCTGCTGAGAACACCTCAACTAGTATGGTGACCTAGAGCAAATTATTTAAGCTTTCTGTGTCTCATTTTCCTCACCTACAAATTGGGAATAAAAATAGTAAGTAGGATTGTTAGATGATTAAAGGAAATTTATGTACAGCATTCAACACAGTGCCTGGCATATAGCAAGCATTCAATAAGTTATGTGATGGCTGACAGAGCAGCACATAGGACAGGACAGATTAAGAAAGCAGCATTCATCTCCTTGCCTCCAGTCACATGGAGCCGTGTTCACTTACATTGCCATTCATCAGAGAAACACAAAGTCAGCTTTCTTTGTCTTTGCATGCGAGAATTCTGCCACTGAGCCACCCATGCACCCAACTTTCTTTGTCTTGGAATAGTAAAGAACGTACTCCCGTTGGAATCCAATCATAGGCTATCGGCAGAGCTGGCCAGAGCCTCATATCTAATATGTAGGTTTAGCCAATGTAGCAAAGAAATTTGGTCTAATACGAAATAAAAACGAGCAGAGGAGCCCAGATGTACATTTCTTTATTCCGCCATGGTTCTGAACTCCTAGCTAGCCTGGTTTGGAGTGAGTCTCTACTTGTAAACTCAGAGGGATGCCAGCCGTCCATTTTCTGAAGGGGAAGAGGGCATGAGCTTCTGAGTAGAGGAGAAAAACAACATTCGAAATCTGGCTTCCTCTGAACCACCCTAGAAAGTAGACCTTTTTATTTTTAGTATATCAAACTGGTCTTTACAAAAGGAGGGCCCAGAAGAAATTTGTTTCCTGTAAGAAACAGTATGTATTTAATAAAGGTCTTTGGAGATAGGTACTCTGTCTTGTGGCAGCCCTTGCTGCTGGTGCACAGGGATTATTGCTGGGTGGATTTTGAATTTATTTACCCAGAACTGCGGAATATTTTTTTTAGACTTTTATGAAGTCTTGGCTTCCCATTTCTTAACTCCACATATTTTTCATAATGCCCTCTTGATCCTTTCTCAGGCTCTTTGCTCCTCTTCATTTGTGTCTCTTACAATCAATAAGCTAACACCAGTCTTGCTTCTCTGAGGTGCAGGGATCTTCTGCCACTCCCTGGGGCCACAGAACTGGCTGCAGGATAGTGGTGTGGCAAAATCAGGGTCCACACCAGATTGGCCGAGTGGTGGAGAAGTTCTTTAGAGGGAACATTGGAGTCAGTCCCCAAACTCCCCCAAACCCTTTCTTGCTCTACAGATTCTGAAGGACCATCCCAGGGCAGATGTAGCCTCTGTCCCAGTCGTGGAATCATCAGAGTGATATGTGGATTGTGGCTGGAAAGGGGTGTCTGCAGTATGAGGCCATAAGACCTTGCACATTTGCACAGCTTGAGGGGGTGGACGAGGGCCATCCTTTGGTAAGCATCCCATAGCAAGGCCAGGATAGATGGTGGACTGGGCCTCATGGCCAGTGGCTGAAGCATTAAAGTGTTTGGTGGTGTTTGAGCCAAGCAAGAGCATGGCGGCATGGAGGCAGTGGTGGAAGCTCACAGCCAGAGCCCAAGCTGGGAGAGCCAAAAGCAGGCAAGGCTGACTGGGAGCTGGGCTGCAGGGCCTCCGGCCTGATGTCATTGTGGTGTCTTCCCAGCTAGGAGAGCATCCTCAAGGTCCCTGCCTGTGGCTGGAGGCCATTTCCAGGTAGCTGCCCACACTGACCCCTCACTGCTACTCCTTGGCAGCACAGTGTGGGGGGCCTGCCTCAGCCACGTAACCTGGGGAGCAGTGGCAGCGGTAGGAGCCCTCTGTGTTCTCGCAGTGACCATGGGCACAGAGTGTAGCAGGCCCGTTCAAGTCATCACACTCATTCACATCTAAGAGGAAAGGAAGGAGAGAGCTGTAGGAGCCCAAGTATCTCTGGTCTGCTACCTCTGCCCCTCTGGTCACTAAGCCTTGGCCCCTGCCTTGCAGAGTAATCCTAAGTGTGACAGCCAGGGACTGAAGTCACTTCCCCAAACCAAGCAACTCAAGGACACAAAGCAAGGGGCAATGAGTTCATGCTGTGCCCAAGACCAGGCTCTCCGGTCCCTACTTCTCTTTTTAGGGATCTCAATGGAAAGTGCTTTCTAAGCAAAGCATTAGACCTTCCTTTGGCGCTCTCACCCCCTGACCTGACTCCAGGTAGCTCCACTAGGGGACAGCAGTGGATTTCCCAGCCATCCTAAGTTCAGTCATGCACCTGGGCAGTGGGCCAGTCTGGCTTCTCCATCAGGATTCTAAACTTACCCACACAGGCCATATGGGCCGCATCCAGCTGGAAGCCCTCAAAGCAGTCACAGGTGTAGCCCTCCTGCACGCGCACACAGCGGCCGTTCTCACAGCCGTTCAGGATGCCGCACTCCTCTGCCTGAAGCCCTTCGAAGCCAGCATGGGGCTCTGATAGGAGGGAGTCACAGAGAGAAGGAAGCTGAGGTCTTGTGTCCAGACTCTAATTTCTCCAATGCTGGGACTCTCACCCTCTGGTACAAACAGTTGCCCCTGGTAACTCAGGGGGTAGAGGTGGGGAGGGCCATAAAATTCTCACAGAAAGATGCTAAAACAAAAGGCAATACTCTCAAAGAAACAAGTATGTGTCATTTTAGGTGGGGGAGAAGTGCTACACTTAAGATGAGGCTCTAGGAAGGTTGGGATTCTCCACTTCCACAATGCCAGGGTCCTGACCAGTTGATTGCTTCTATACAGTTTTGGGGTTTGGCGGTGGTAATGGTGGGGTGTTTTGTTTAAATCTGTGTATATATATATATATATACATATATATATATATATATATATATATGTATATATATATATATATACACAGATTTAAACAAAACACCCCACCATTACCACTGTATTTTTGTGGGTGTGGAGTGGGGATTGGCAGCAGAGGGGGCCTCACTCAACACAAAGCAAAACTTCTATCAGACCTGCCTAATCCTTTTCTCTCTTTAAGCACCCCTCCACCCCCTGAAAGAGACCCCATCCTGGTGATGTTGTCTTAATCAGTCTGATATGGTGTTTGCCACCTATGGTGGGTACTGTGTTTGTTGCACAGATGTCAGGCCTGACTTACTCATGAGAATCCAAGGCCTGAATGGGGTTGTTACCATTCACAAACTGAGTCACCACAATGGGCCTTTAAAGTCATTGGAAATCCTTAAATCACATTTCAGGTCACAAGTTTGAATGCTGGGTTTCATTAGGGCAGATTACTCTAAATCCTATAAGTGGTGTGGAGGGAGAAGGATGGAGCGGAGTATACCTGCTTTCTCTTGCTCTCTATTCCCACGGGGAAGCTTTTGAGGTTGAGACTGTGTCCTGCACCTCTTTGCGTCCCTGTGCTAATTCATCACAGGGAGTTGCTAGGGTCTGACCCAGATACGTGGAGTTGTCTCTTTAGAGTGACCCGTGAGTGGGGACATCTGGCTTGGTGTGTCTTTCCCCTTCCCCATCCTTACCCTGCCAACAATATGATCGGCAGGTGGAGGAGATGGAAGTTAAATAGCTTCAGTGCCCACCTCATCCCCACTTTTGCAGCAACACAGACCTGGATGGCTGGCCATGTAGCGGGGCTGGAGTTCTGAGGGCTGCAGAGGAGATTCAAGGATCAGGGTGTGGTCCCCGAGGTGGCTGGCCGTGTTGGAGAAAGGGGGTTCAGGGACAGTGTCCTCAGGGCCTAGGTAGTTGTAGAAGGGGGCCCCATCTGGGCCATAGAGGCTGTAGTGCAGGTCGTCGGGGCCGGGGCCATACTCGTAGCCTGGCCGGAAGTGGATCCCGGCCTCCCGCTCCGCCTCAATCCGGGCCACGTTGCACAACTGAGCATAGACCTCTGTCAGGGAGGAGGGGGAGAGGGAGCTGGGTTCCAGCTCCTGCTAGCTAAAGCCTGGTGGGCTATTTCATCTGGCCCATTCCCCCAGGAGAGAGGAAGGATGCCTCTCTCCACCCCTCCCCTGTCCCCTACTTTGTCCCCAACCAACAGGGATGGAAGATGAGGCCACTACTCTGATTGCCCGACTCCTTCTTTCCAGATCTCCCCTTCAAAGGTGAAGGCCACCCCCTCCCTGGGGCTGGGCCCAGCCTTGCAGGTGTTGTCTCCTCTTTCTCTCTCACCAGAGCTCCTGGGGGGGCACAGAGCACACTGCTGGCTCCAGGCCTCGCCGTCCTGGCAGCAGCATTCTGTGTAGGTCGTGCGATGTCCACGCAGGGGTTGGCTGCACACGTCATTGGTGACTTTTTTCCAACAGATGTCCATGTGGATGTCGTGGTCAGGGAGGTCCTCTGGTGGCACAGGGCACATGAGCCTCCCAGCCCAGGTTCACTTCTCCTGCTGCCCCACTGCCCCAAGCCCACTCACCCATGCTGCTGGTGCTGTTCATGCAGCGCTGCTGGCTGAGGTCCAGGGTGAGGGGCGGGCTGCAGAAGCAGTGGAAGGAGCCCTCTGTGTTCACACACTCGCCATTCTCACAGGCCATGTCCTGGCACTCATCGTGATCTGTGATGGTGGGAAAGTGTGGGGCAGTGCAGTGGCCTATGCATTCACCACCCTCATGCAGGGGGGTTTCCTGTAACTGATAATGAAGAGGTACACTCCGTCTCCCCTCCCCAATCCAGCCCAGACTGGGAGGCTCCTCCCCAGGGACACCTTTCCAACAGGTCCCCAGGTACAATCCCTGACAGTCCCTCACCTCAGACCTGCCTGCTGCAGTAGGCATCTTCCCCAGGAAGGGGTACTCCTGGCAAGAGTAGGACTGGCTGGCAGGGGCTGGGGATGGGGAGGGGCTGTGTGTGTCCTCACCCTCACACCTCTTGAGGGAGGCATCATAGTGGTAGCCAGGATTGCACAGGCAGATGTACCCAGGCACCGTGTTGAGACACCGGCCGTTGGGGCAGAGACCAGGCCCAAACATCAGACATTCATCGGCATCTACGGGAGGGCAGAACTGAGGTGAGGTGAAGGCGAGCGGTATGAGGCAGGATTTGAGACCAGGAGCTCCAAAGCCAGCCTGTCTGGATTTGAATCCCAGCTCTGCCACTTACTAGTTGGGTGGCTTTGGGCAAGTTGCTTAAGTTCTCCTTGCCTCAGTTTCCCTCCTAAAAAATGTGGATAATGCTACTTAACCTCTTACAGTTGTTATGAGGATTAAAAGATAGTGCTTGACACACACACAAGCACTTAAGGAAAGTTACTTCTGTTTCTGTTATTTCCTTCTTAGGATGAGGGCACTGAGGGGCTCAGTACCTGAACCACCCCAATGTGAGTATAGATTCCTCAATGTTTCTGGCTCCATAAACAGGGCCAGGGAGCTAAGCAGCTACCTCTGGCCTCTGTACGGCAGTACTCTTTGCTCTGTCCCTGTGCCCACGTATGCCTGGGGGTAAAGGTTAGTCAAGGCATCATAGTTTGTTCCTGAGGATACAACCTTGGGGGAGAAGGGAAACTAAGCTGAGAGTCATGTGTACACTCCAGCAGGAGCTCGTGTTAGCACTTCCAGATAAAACTCTGGTAGTCAGTCAGCCCTGGGACAGAAAAGACGGAAGCCACCTGGGAGGCCAGGGCTAGATGCAGAACCACCCCAGGCAACTCCTGAAGGACCAGGCTAGAGCCCACTCAGGTGAGTGGAGTTTGGGGAGGAGGGTGTAGAGGGAGGTTACCTGTGTACATGGTCTGTCCAAACATCCAAGCTTCTTCCACAGGGATGTAGCCTTTACCACCGGGGCAGATCTCACTGAATTCAACTGTGTAGGAAGGCATCCCAGCTCAGAGAGGGAAGGCCTCTGCCCCCCTTCTCTCTCCCTTTCTTTCAGTGTCACCCTGCAGAGCTGACCCTAAGAGGATTTGGGACCATTGGGGCCTTACCTGAGTCCTCAGATGGGCAGAGGTCACAGGCATCTCCCCAGCTGGCGCCCTGAGTGCAGCAGCACTCGGCCTGCGTGGTGTTCTGGCCCAGGATGCTGGAGCAGGGTGGGTAGCCATTCTGCCCAGAGTAGCACTGCATGCGGATCGGGCCTGGGGGGTGGCCTCCTGTTGGGGCCTCAGTTATACTCTGACCTGTATGTAATAGATGCCCCTTACTATTGCCCAGAACCCTCTGAGGCACCCTTGTCCTTGAGTTTATTTTTTAAATTTAACATTTATATGGCACTTTACAGTATACAAAATACTATTACCTATACTACCTCATTTGATGCTCCCAACAACCCTATGAGGTGGGTATTATTATTATTATTATCATCATCTCCCTTTTACAGATGAAGAAATTGAGCTTCAAGAAGCTAGATGACTTGCTATAGCCATGCAGTTATTAAGAGGTAAAGCAGAGATTTGGCCTCAGTTCCTCTGATGCCAAAGCCCCTGCTCTTTCCAGTATACCACACTGCCTTCCTTCCCTATGGAGGGCTGGCCCCAGTCCCTGGCATACCATATGGGCAGCCCTCTGGTCCATTCTGCTTGACGTACTCCCCAGCCCCTCCCGCTCTTCCTTGTTCTAGGTCGCCTTGCTTTTCCCCAAGTCAGTGAAGGCCAGCTCGGTCCTAGTCCAGCCTGTGGTGAGAGGCCGAACCCAGCAGCTCTGTGGTGGAGTAGGAAGTGGGAAAAGGGGAGTCCAGCTTAGCTCAGCATCAAGTCCTCCCTCAACCAAGACTCCCAGGGGTTGGATGGGTTCAGGGTCCCTCCAAAGCTCAATCTGAGGTCCCTGGGGCCACCGTGAGTCAGCATCAGAGCTTTCTGAGCCTCCTCTAGAGTCGTCACAGCCCTGTAACCTTCTGGACATGGCCTGGTCTGGAATAGGCCCCCTCTTGTCCTGACACATGTTGCACTCTCAGGCTCCTCACCCCTCCACGCTCCATTCCTAACCTGCCTCTTCCTATGCTGCGCCTCTCCCTACAGGAGTAGATGCACTTTGTAAGCCGTAGAGTCCTCACGGATAATGACAGGAAGGAAGGGGGGTCCTATGAGTCTCGCAGGCCTTACCTCCAGCCACCCGTGGGCGGCAGTGCCCCTCTTGCGTGTCGTACTCCTCATGGTCACTGGCACAGAGGCACAGGAAGGAGCCCTCCACATTCTCACAGAGTGCAGCCCCACACACTGCTAGCATGAGCTCACACTCGTTCACATCTGCCAGGCATGAGGACAGGCTTGTGGGTGGAGAAAGAGTCAGCCCATGCCCCTTGCCCCTGAGTTCAGCCCAATCAGGCAGGTCCTCATCTCATCTCCCCAAAAGAAACAGCCTAGTCCTTTGGAGAAGAAGCAAAAGTGGGTATGAAGTAGCAGGAACAGATGGGAAGAGAGTATGGGAAGGAAGAGAGGAAAGGAGTGGAGAAAAGGGTCACTAAACTGGACAAAGAAGGATTATCCCTGCTGCACATTCTCTAGACATCCTGTCTCTTGAGACCCTGCGGTCTCAGGAGAAGAGTGGTACCTTCCCTAATGTGCTTGCTCCCCTGATGGCAGAATGTGGCCATACTTTCCCTGCCAGCCTGACCCAGGTGCCAGCTGCAGGGTGAAGTTGAAATCTCCCTCTTCCTTGAAGCCTCCCTTGTCCACTCTATGGGGACCTATTATGGAGCCATGGGACCATGAACATTTCAGGAAGATGGCCCTAGGGCCTCTATCCAGGACAGTCAAGATCTGTGGAGATGAAAAGAAGAGCCCAGGGGCCTTCCCTGGCCCAGACCTTGGGAGCCCGCAGGCTTCTCACCAATACAATCCCAGCCTGAGGGCGAGGTCTCGAAGCCCTGGTCACAGAGGCAGCGGAAGGAGCCGTCAGTGTTGTCACAGAAGCCATGGCTCCCACACATGGTGTCGTTGGCACACTCATCTATGTCTGTGGGACAGTGGGGACCAGTGTAGGGTGTGTGTGTTCTCTCTTTGTTTAATGGGAATACTTATGTATTTGGTCTATTCATACCAAAATCTGCAAAAAGCAACCTCTAAACACAGGACGAGAAAACGCTAATATTAACAATTCAATTTTTGTGTAAGTTCTTCTGTATGGGAAATATACAAACTTCGAACAGCTGTACAAATAGGGTCCTCAGGAGAAAATAGTTTCTAGCTCGATACATGAAACAAGTGTCCTCAGCCCTCCCCCGTCTGACTCCCCCTCCCTGCTCACCAATGCAGTCTCCAGTAGGGGCCATGTGGAAGCCGGTCTGGCAGCCCGTGACACATCGAAAGGAGCCAGGGCTGTTCTCACACCGCCAGGCCCCACACACCGGGTCTCCGTGGTCCTCACATTCATTGATATCTATTCTCAGAGACACAAGAGGGGACAGAGGTGGCCAGGTTACTGCTCTGGTCCTACATCGCTGGCACTACAGGGTCATGCCCCATAATCTCTGGGGTCCTTGATCTGTTCCAAATTACTGTGCTCATCTCAGCCCCAGCATGTCAAGTTCAGGATAATTTCCCCTGACCTAGCAGGGCTGAGCATCTCGGAAGAGAACTGTATGCTATTTAGGAAGCACTGAGCTCTTAGCCTTCTGTGACATTCCTTTTCCTCCAACCCCCCCCACCCCAATCCCCACTGGCAGAGAACTTCATACTTCTCTTTATATGAAACCTCCACTGTAGTGTACAACAGAGAGTTGTCTTCATATCTGTCTCCCTTGCTTAAGTTCAAGATTATAACTGTCTATTTGTCCTAGCAGATGACATTGAAGGTAGCAGGTGTTTAATAAAACACCTATTGAATCCATTTGGCCTTTAAAACTAGATTGTGCGCTCTGCCGGCACAAAGATTAGGACTGTGTTCATTTCGTCATCCTTGGACAGTCCCTAAGCCAGCAGAGGCTCGATACATGCATTATCCATTGGATGATTAATCTGTGGAAAGCACCCTGCTTCACGGGAACTGAGAACCGGGTGGGAGTGGAGATGGGCAGACGTGGGGCAGAGCCCTGTGTGCCTTCTCTGGAGCCCTTACCTACACACTCCCCGCTCTCTGGGGAGGGCTGGAAGCCAGTCTCACACTGGCAGTTGAAGGAGCCGTCAGTGTTGACACATTTCCCTCTCAGACACCGGTCTGTGGCTGCACACTCATCTACATCTAGAATGGAGATGGCTGTCAGCAGACCCAGCAATGGGTCCCTTTCCTATTAAGGCCCTGTGCAGCTTCCTCTGGGCCCTGAGTAGCCTGTAGGAGGGCCAGGAAGTGGCTCAGGCTAGGAAAGAGACGGAAGATTTGAAGGGGAGTCCAGAGCTGGAAGCCAGAGGCTAGGCTGGGGGGAGGGGCCCTGGAACTCAGACTTTGTCAAGGGCAGAAGAGTGACATTCAAAAGAGTTTGGAGAGGGTGTGTGCCTGCCGTGGACATCATGGAGAGGCCTTCCTGAACACCAGGCTCCCTCCCATCACTCCTGCCTTCTCTCTTATCACTGGGGGCACCAGGAACATTTTATTTCTGTTCTAGTATTAACATGGACTCTAGACTAGCCTCTAGAGCCCCTGCTGCTGGCTAGCAGACATGGCCATGCTGGCTCCTCACCCTCGCAGCTGGTGCCTCCCTCTGTGCTGGCAAAGCCCGGTGCGCAGAGACAGAAGAAGGACCCTTGGCTGTTGAGACACTCGCCGCGGGGTGCACAGTACTCCTCCCCCACGCATTCGTCCACGTCTGTAGGGAAGAGATGGGCAGTGGGTGTCTCCTGGGGCTGTCCCCACCTCCCCACACACTCACTGCCCCCAGTCTCCAGTGGGGCGACCTGGGCCACTCACCCTCACACACAGTGCCGTTGGCCAGCTGGAAGCCCTGGGGACAGAGGCACTGGTAGGAGCCTGCCGTGTTCTTGCACTCGCCTCCCAGGCAGCTGCTCTGAGGGTCTTCACATTCATCCACATCTGCAGGGGAGGAAGAAAGCAGATGGCAGCATCTCCAAAGGACAGGAACCAAGAGGGAGGTCTCCAGAGGACCTATCACCTGCCTGCAGATGGACGCATAGGGCCATCATCCCATCATAAAGCAGCCCAGCTGGGAGGAGCTGGTGAGGGAGCCCTGGGGGAACAGGCTGACTCTGCAGCTCCTTCCACTTCTGCCCCAGCCCCGGCAGCCCCCTGCCTCCGGCTGGGCTTCTCCACTGCCTCACAGTGCCCAGCAACCCTGGCCTAGGGGCAAACGCCACTGCCCTTTTCGTGGCTGAGATGGCTTAGATTTTACTGAGAAGCAATCGGAAAACAAATGAGAAGTAAACCGAGGAAACATATACAGAGAACCTGCGAAGGTAACAAACTAGATTCTGAAAGTTGGTCTGCAGATTGCCTGGTACAGACCAATGTTTTCCAAAATATGTTCCCAGTACCCACCCTTATAAGAAACACTTGGGGAACCTGTTAGGAAACAGATTCCAGGGCCCCCTCCAGAGTCTGGTTAGTAGGTATAGGACAAGTTCCAGGACAAGGCCCAGGAAGATGCATGTTGAACAAACTTCCTCAGTGATGCTAACGCACACTGAAGCTGGTAAGCCAGCAGCTCATTGGCCCACTAGGCCCACATCTGCAGTTGTCTCTCTAACTTCTGTTTGGGGGAGGAGTGAGAATAGGTGTCCCCAGCTAGCCCACCATCCAAGGTGAACAGAGGGGCCCTTGTTCATTCCCTTCTTGAACAGTGACAGATTAGTCTCCTGCATCCCATCTGTGCGTTTTCCCACGGAGCGGGGGTGGGGTGTGCTCTTACCTTCACAGGTGTGGCCCAGTGGGCTGGGCCGGTAGCCCCCATCGCAGTCCTTGCAGGAGAAGGAGCCGACAGTGTTGGTGCAGACTCCTGAGGGGCAGACTCCCGGAAAGGCACACTCATCCAGGTCTGGGCAGATAGACAGTCAGTCGCCCAGGGACCTGGGAGGGTCCCTCCACCCAGTGATGGAAGAACCTCACCACACCCCTGGCCTCCTCCTCTGAGCTTGTAGGACAGTCTCTAGGCCCCTGCGGGAGGGTGGGCCTTGGCTGTGGGCCTTCTATAAGGCAATCCTAACACCCCCTCCGTAGAAAGCTCCAGGGGTAGTCTACCCTCAGCTTCCTCTTGTCTCTCTGACTCCCTTTCCTTCCTGTCCTTACCTCTCCTTGGGGCCATGTCCATTTATAGGGTCCTCTAGCCTAACCTGAAGCCCCTCAGCAACAGACCAAAGCTGGAGGGCAAATGGAGTGTTCTTCAAGAGATAGAAAGGCCCATATCCTTGGTCCCCATCTGCCATGCCCTCCTCAGGTTACCTTCACAGGCAGTGCCGTTTTCATTCACCCAGTACCCGCTCTCACAGGCCGAGCAAGTGAAGGAGCCCTCGGTGTTGAGACAGAGGCCTGTGGGGCATGAGGCCCGGCTGGCACACTCGTCCACATCTGAAACAGGCCATTTAGTTCTGTGTGGGATTCTGCAGAACAGACATGCCGGAACATCCAGAGACTGACAGGTGGGCAGGGGTAGGGGAAAGGACAGGTCTTGGCAGGGATGTGTTGGGTCAGTGTCGTTAAGAAGGTAGGACCAGGGGTGAAAGGGGATGAGGGGAGTGTGTGCAGAGGGGAGGAGCCACAGGCTGGATTTGCCTGTGGAGGAAGGATTCTTCAGCATCACTGTACCTTGGCAGCCTTTCTCATCTAAAGTGACCTCATAGCCCTGCTCACAAGAGCATCTAAAGGAGCCTTCCAGGTTGATGCACTTTCCACGGGCACAGACCCCTGGGGTCAGACACTCATTCACATCTGTGGGAGAGAAGTCCAAGATGGCGGGCTGGCCTCCTCTCCATGCAGCCCCCAGTGATAGGCTTAGAGATTCCCAATTCTGAGTCCAGGGAATTTGCCTTCAGAGGGGTTGAAGGCTACCCTGGGGAGGCCATGAGGCCATGCTCCCTCATTCCAGTAGGCAGGGCAGAGTGTCCTTCTCCCTGATCTGATTTTAGCCCTATCTAGTAACTTACAGCCTGCTGCATATGTCCTAGAAAAGGGGACCAGGTCCCTCAGCCCTGGGGCTGGTTTGGCCCACCTCATTATAGGTCTGAAACTCTCTAGCCTCCTACCTGCCAACCAAACAACCTATGTTCCCATACCAACAAGCAGCTTTGATAGGTATGTGGACGGCATGGAGAGAGGCCAGGCCAAGCCTGGGTGGCTGAGCGGCAGTCTCGAGGGCCTGGGAAATGTCTGCCCTCTCCAGAGTCTCAAAGCATCTATTCAAAACTCAGTCCCTCTTGGCATTCTGCACCCAGTGCCCTCTTCCTGTGGGGGCTGAGGGAAAGAGCAGTCCTACTGCTGACTTGCAGCCCCTGTAGAGGGAGAGAGCAACCACTGTCCAGCGAGGCAGTGCTGTTTAGACATGGCTGTTGAGCTTCAGGTGAGCAGAAGACCCCACCTTCCTGGGAACTGCAGAAGGGCCTGGCTGCCGGCTCTCACCAGCAGTCAGTCTCATGCTCTCACTAGCAGTCAGCCTCATCCTAAGACCCTTAGGTTCCTCACTCCACCCACAGGATCCAGCCACAGAAGTTTCCAGGACCTTGGGCTATAGCTCCAGAACAGCTATGGCCAAGGAGCAGAAGAGGCCTCCACCCTAGCTGATTCAGAGGGTAGAGCACCAGTAACTGAAGCACGCCCATCATGAGATAGCCCAGTGTCATCTGAGAACACAGCTGGACTGTGGAGCACAATAGCCTCCAAGCCACTTTCCTCTGCCCACCTCTTTCCCTGCCTGTCTGTGTGTAGAGGTCCCAAGGCCAAGTGGCCCTCTATTGCCTTGGTAAGAAGCCCTTACCCACACAGTTCCCGCTCTGGCCTCGGTAACCCTCCTCACAGGCCACACAAGTGTAGGAGCCAGGGGAGTTGATGCATCTCCCATCAGGGCAGGTACCAGGATGATGGCATTCATTGATATCTGTAAAACAACAGCCCCTCCCTTGGTCATTCCTGGGAACCACAGCACATGGGTAGGTCTATGACATAGCAAATCCTTGACCCTGCCCTTGGTTAAGGAGAGGGATGTCAGTTTCTGTGCAAATGAAAACTAGGAAAAAGTGAGACTTGTCCTGTGTCCCTAACTCTGCCTCCCACCCACTGTCCTGAACAAAAGAGAGATGGAAGAATTTAAAAATCAGAAAGGGAGACTCCCTGGGTGGGAGCAATAGACTGTGGTTGCCACTACTGTGGGAAGGTCAGAGCTCTACTTTGTGAGCTGAGCTGTTTGGGATGGGCCTTCATATCCCCCTTAGAGAACTAATCCTTATAAGTGGTGATCTTTAGCAGGATTGGACATGCTTAGCACAGCAACTAGTTGGATTACTGCCAGAGGCCCCAGAGTAGATCACCAGAGGGGCAGTGAAGGCAAAGTGGGCTTCCCAACCCCATAAAATGAGGGCCAAGGATGAACCCAGAATCCTGGATATGGCCATGACCAGCCCTGAGGCTGAGTGCAGACCGAAGGGTAGAGGCTGGCAAGCCTTCTCTGCTGGACAAGTGTCAGACCTTTCCTCTAGCCAAGAACCCTGTAGAGCTCCCAGCACACACTCTGCTGAGATCCAGGAAAGTCAGCTAGAAAGAATGAGCCTGGGCACCAACTGGACAGGCAAGGGAGAGGGGACCTTGGGAAGGAGAGTGACAACAAGAAGGAGGAAGGAGATCTTTCCCCCAGGAGCTGAGGGCAGGGTTCTTCCCTATGTGACCTGGCATACCAGGGAGTCCATCATCCAAGGCACCCAGGGGACTGAGTTAGGGAAGTCACAGGGACTCTGGCCCAAGATCAAGGCTCCTGGTCTCTATTCAGGAAAGACTGATAGGCCATCCTCCAGATGAAACAGGAGGATTTATTCTTCCTAAATGATTAACAGTCATTCTCCTGGATGAAGTCCACCAGCTCATGCAGATACAGAGGCCCTACTTCCAGGAGGAAGACCTACTCAGCATCCATGGGGGAAATGCAAGAGGCAGGCCAAGGGTCAGAACACAAGCTTTCTGCAAAGGGACTAAAGCTAGCAGCTGCCATTGCAGAACAGAACGTGGACCCTAATGGGGAGGGTGAAAATGAGTCCCCCTGAGATTGTTTGATCTCCAGAAGTCAGGACACATCAAAGCCCTTTGTCCCTGGAGACTGGGATTGTCAAGGCCAAAACTTCACCCTGAGGGTCCAGAAGAGAAATACAGAGCAGGTGGTTATTCAGGTGGGTATCTGCAAGAAGATACCCACAACTCCCAGGTAACTGTGGGGACACTGAGGCAAGGCTCATCTCTGGAAACCAAGGACCTCTAGTTGGGTTGTGGTGACACCAGGCTAAACTATTCTAAGAGTTTCTGTATAGACAGAGATAAAATGAGGCAGAGACAGAGAGAATGAAGAGATCGATCTACGACCACCAACTTTGGCCACCCAGGAGAAAGCAGCCAGCACCATGGCCTGCTGGCCTTGGCTGAGTTACCTGAAGGAGGACTAGGAATAAATAATCCCTGCTTCAGGGATGTGAGATTTCAGGGACAAAGAGAAAGAGCTCGAGGTGAGGATTCTCCTGAGTCCATGCCAAGAAAAAAATGAAATCTTTAGACCTCTCTCACAGAGATGAGGCAATGTGTGAAGGAGATTCAGTTTACCAGGAGCAAAGGGCCCTGAGGTCTGTCCTGTCCCAAACATGCAGGGCACATCTGTTAGAGGTGGTGCATGAAGTGTCTTATGCTGGGCATTTAGAAGACATTTGTTTGTGATTGTGGTTGGTTGGTAATGCAGCATAATCTAGCCTATCCTGGCACATCCCAGCTGGCTTCCCTCCTCAGATCGGAGCACTGGCCAGTGATGATCATAGCTGAGAGGTCTCGCAGCAAGCAGGAGAGAGGGCAGAAGATCAAAGTAGCCCCTCAGTCTCCACCTGAGTTAGGGAAGGGCTCTCCTGAATGGGGGTGGATATAACTGAGCCCCTAGCCAAGCCAATCCAAAGGAGCTGGACGAAGATTCTGGATGAAGTGAATTTCATTACCATATATCCTAAGGCTGTTCCAGAAACCTCTTAGTGCCTGCCCTGGAGCCAGTCACTGGGTGCAGATTTTTCTGCCTAGTCTAGGGTTTAAATTTTAATTTAAGGTTATGGTATGTTTTGGTAGATTGTAATACTCTGGTTGTTAGGGGCAGGAGATGTCTTATTTATTGCTGTACGAGTATTCCCAGTTCATGGCTGGCACACGGCTGGCACTCAACAAATGTTTGCTGACCAAAGAATGGGACAATGTGCCTAAACTTCACCCATCATCCTCTTGGTATAAGGCTGCTAAAGAGACTCCAAAGGACCCATGCAAACAGTCACTCCAGGAATCAGCTTGCTAACCTGCTGTCGGTACACTGGGAAGATCCTGGAGCTTCTCTTAGCAGGGGTCAGTCTTTGAATGAGGAAATGTAAAGGCATCCACCTCTGTTCCTTGTGAGAGGACAGGGTGGGAGTGGGGAGGGCATGCAGGCAGGGAACCAGAAGCTCAGGTGATCTTGGATATGGGTGGGGGATAGCAAAGACCCTGGCAATCTGCAGAGGAACCTACCCTCTGTCCATGGGAACCTGGAGTCCTGCTACTACGGAAATGCCATCGAGACTGTCGGATGGGCTGCTGTCCAGACTACTCAGCCTTTTACCAGAGACTTTGAGTTTCAGTGGAGAGAGTGGTTTCTCAGTTGGAGAAAGAAGAAAGAGGGAGAGGAAATTGACTGGGCTCCCAGGGTGATGGGCCGGGTCTGCGGTTACTGATGGAA